TCTGATGAATGTAGTAGCATGGAGAGAAGAAAGGCAGTGAAGTGAATCAAGCTCTCAAAAGTCTCTCTGTACACCAACTGCAGCATGATGATGCTTGGGATCTGAAAGCATATCTCTGGAGATCCTAGGAATTTGCTGTAAGACCCTTCACTAACAGGAGAGGACGGCAGAAAGCAAAAACAGTTGGAGGGGAGCCTCCCTGCTATGAATATTTTGCTTGTTTGAATATAAATGGGGATACAACAAAGGGAAGGCAAAAAAACAAACAAACAACCTTCAGACAAGGTAGGCAATGTAAGATAAGTACTCCAAGGCTCCACTTTGTACATTAGCATACAGAGGTGTTGAAAAGATCACCCATTTAATCGGTACAACCATTAGCTGTACACAAGCAATAGCAGGTTCAGAATCCAATTGAAAGGAAATGTACAGAGATGAAAAAAACAATGTGCTAAATTCTGCTGGGGGGGAGGGCAAGACAGAAGTGGAGAAGGAGATTGGAGTTCCTTTCCTTGAAAAGATGTTAGAACACTGGAAACACTTTAAAAGCATGAAAAATATGACATTCATCCTCTGTCTCCCTCCCTTATTCTGCAGATTTACATGCTCCACCCACCTCCAGGTTTCCAATTGTGTCTGGCAACTTCAGCTCTGCCCCTTGCATCAGAGAGCTCTGATTGATAAAAGGCAGTTTCTCACTCCACTGACGATGTCAAGTTATGTCTGTTCTCTTCTCCACTTCTGTCTTTGGCTTCTATCATTATTGTTTGGAGTAGTGCCTGGGAGCCAAAGGTCAAGGTCCCACTGTACAGCTAGGTACAACAGGAACAGGGAAAAAGTGTGTTGCTTCCTCCCCCGCTATTAATACTTCCAAGCTAAAAGCTTGCTTTTCAGGGGGGGTTGCTTGATTTTATTATCTTTTTTCATTTATCTCCATACACACTACTACACAGGTCTTTAAAATCTGTGTTGCCTTAAAAAATTGTCCGTGAATAAAGCAATGCTGGCACCTATTACTGTTGATTGCCTAACAAGCTTCAGTTAGTGCCCTTCACATCTCATTGCTATGGTGGCAAAACTTTTCAGGCATACCCCCACCTTCATAATTATCCGTTGCCAACCACAGTACCCTTTCCATCACCCCTGTTACCCCTCTCAAAACTTCCACTCTTTTCTCCCACTTTAGGGTCTCTCTCCTTGTCCTGAGTGTGTGTGCAAGTAAACTTACAGTACTGTAAGTACATCACACCATGAGAAAGATCTGAGAAACTAAAGGTAATTGAACATGGTTAAACTAAATACAAGTGTTTTGTGATTGTGAGGAATATTTTGGAAGTCTTATCTTTACTTGTCCTGTGATCTAATTTTAGTAAATGGAACTGTAATTTAAAAGATAAGGCTATACCTACCTTACATATAAAAAACTAATTAACTGACACATTCATGCTCTGGTTACTTACATAACATTTATAGCAGCACCATCAGCATCAACACACTTAATAATCTGTTTATGTTCCCAATTGTAACTTTCCATTTCCCAAGTGTTTATAAATAGGCTGTAAAAGTTTGGTATGAAATTTAGCATGTCACAAAGGACTCAGCCTGGGTTAGTTTCATTTTAAATATTGTTTAAGGGAAATTGAAGCTTTAGAAGCCTTAGAAATTGGCTGAGCTGCAAACCAATTAACAACATAAATTTACCCCAAGGCTTATGACTATATAAACGAGGTTCAGTCCAAGAAAACTCAAACTGTTGAAATATTACACTTCTAAAAATGAGGTATATGGGGTTGAAATGGAAGCAGACTGAGGGCCATTATGATTATACATATATGGTACACTTATTGCTTATATTTCCATTTATATACAAAGGCATATTTCAAGGCATATTTCAAAATATCTGCAAGATGATATCATGCCAAAAACATTAATCACTCCCCAATCCACAAAATAACTGAAGACCAAGATCAAAAATCCCCTCCTGTAAAAATATAAGTAGATTTTGCTGCAAACTCCATATAAATATAAGCACTGTAACGTTGTCTACACAGGGAGATTAGATCATATTAGAATACATTTTTAATTAACATGAGCCCTGTATACTTCAGGACAATCCAGCAAAATGACAGCTAAGGACCAAGTTGTTTAACATGCTTTTAATGCATTTTCTGACACAATGTAATTCTTCAGCACAGGCAAGGCTGAAGTGACCACAGGGTGAAGCAATTTCCAAAGCTGTCAGGCATCCACTGAGAACGGGTTGTTACCAGACCTCACCTCGCAAACCCAGAGACAGTCAGCCTAAGCATTCCAGCTGATCTGTTGCAAGACAGACCATAAGGAAATGGCCTCTAAGAGTCATCAATGACTATAAAGCCATCTTTAAGATGCACATCAAGGATATGCTGCAATGCACCTAGCAAGCTGTGCTCTGAAACGTTTCTTGTTGCTGGCACAAAAGTCAACGTTTCCCTATAGCTCTGGAGCCCTCTACAGCAAGCTGGGGTTACCAGAACATGCCTACTGGCAGACAGTAATGAGTTTGGTTCCAACAAACAAGTGGATTATCCAGACACATGTACTGAAGCAAGAGAAAACCATCTCAGGACCCAAGAACAAACTTACTTGCATGGAATAGGTCCCACAAACTCTAACATTAAATACACGTGTTACCATAGAAGAATGCTTTTTTGTACTGGAGAACATCTTCTCATTGCTTAGATTCTTGGTGGTGCTTACCTTACGTCTGGCTTCATCATCCTCTTCTACCCTGGCACCACCAGCATCACTCAAGACAGGGCTCAGAAGAGGAGATGGACCCTGGCCACCTGGGTGCAAATTCACTTGAACTGCAGGGTTCAAACTCAGTTGACTCTTCAAAGTGAATGGCGACAGCTGTGGATGCTCCCCTGAAAGGCCTAGAACTGGAGGAGGAGGGGGAGGAGATGGTTTGGGAAATGAGAAAAAAAGTGTTACAATGGTTTGTCTAAAACCACTTCTTACCAGTGTAAACATTACCAAGAAATAAGCTTAGTCCCTCTTTTCATACTTCAATAAGCCAAAGAATCCAGGACAAAAATGCTTTCAAGCACAGTGAAAACTCTTAAATTAACTGAGCAACTAGCAGTTTGGTATGGGCAAGTTTGTTTGAAGACTACATGTTGGAAGACATAACTTGTATAGGCAACTAATAAAATAGCTCAAATCTCCCTGGGCTGAGCTAGCAGGGATCACCAAAGAAGATTACTTTCACAGAAGCAAGAATATATTTCTGCATTTTCCTTTTTAAAAGCCAGAATTCTCTTTAACTGCCTGGAGCCATTAGGGCACATTGTTTTAGCAGTATTCCTTCTGAAAACAATCAAGTCTAGATAGCAAGGGAAGGGAGGAAATGGAAATTTTTTTCATGCATTCAGAGTTCATGGAATATCTGATCTAAAAAACATTTCTTGTGGGGGTGGGATATTCTGTTTCTGGATCTTTAAATCCAATAGGATCACTAAGTATTTGAACTGAATGCTTCACTGATCTCTGGACTTCAAACTGATCTTGCAGCATTACCATCAGACAGGTATATCTGGGTGGATGGCAATACTGGAGCATTCAAACAATGTATGTGGAACAGGGGGCAACTCTTCTGGACAGGAGCCTTTGCTCTGGCAGATCTCTTTTGAAGGGACAAATGATTATACAGTACTTTATTCAAATGATCATGACCACACATTTCCAGGCTAAGGTAAAATGCTTTTATTTTCCTAAACATCCCTTTGATAAAGGCTCAAACTCCATAGAACTAAACCTTTGACTAAGTCCTAAAAACTTAAACTAGCGGTTCACCTTTCAAGTGCTGCACAAACATTAACTTATGCTTGAACACCCCACTCTGGTATCTCAGTTTTATCACTCCTGATATACAGATAGGAAATAGGAGTTAAGCAACTTGCTCAAAGGCATGAAGTGAATCATTGGTAGAGCAAAACAGAAACAAAAAAATCAGAACCTCAAAGTTCCTGCTCACAGCCTTGTTTGCACTCAGATTGTGCGACTACACCAGTTCAGACCTACTGCTAGAACAACTGGCCGTAGAAATTTTACCCCTTTCTCCAGGGACCTTTCTGGAATTATCTTGAATTTGAAGATTCCTGACATCCTCAGTCTTGATGATCATCATAAATCTCTATGTTCAGGTATTTACTAGCTCTCTTTGAAACAGGCTACAGTCTGACACCAGTTATTGCCTCCCACTCCCACACTAAGGTCCACTTTCTGTAATCTCTGCTTTTAAGAGGAACTCAATGTTAAAGCCAATGCCAGATCCTCCAGCTAATTCTTTTCCTGTAGTCAGATTAATTGCAATAATTTACACAAAAAACCCCATAAAAGTATCAGCCCCCAGGGATATAACTGTAAATGAGATTAGCTGGTTGGAGGAGGGCCAGTTATGAGCTTTTCTAATATACTATTGGCAGGAGTTGGTTGCTGTTCTTTGGCTCAGGAAGCAAAACTACTTCCATACGTGGCTGCAGCATGACAATGCTGAGGGAGCAGG